CTAGTCACACAGAACTAGGTTCACATTTAAAGGCGCGAAAATCGAATAAGAAGGAAAGAGTCGCAGCTCGTGGACACCACCACCGACGTACTTCCACAGAAGCGGTGTAAAACGATGTAAGAGGATTAAAAGGCTCGGACCGATTGGCTCCCATTACCGGTCCTGTCCGGGTTGTAAATCCTACATAAAGCCATTGATAAATTACGCGCAACATCGCGCGGGCGCGCGACCCGCCTTAACGATCGTTTCGCGAGTCTGCCTGCTTACGGAAAGTTTAACAACAAACTGAGCTTTGCATCCAAGCTGCAACGGTAATTGAACCTCGCGATTGAAGTTCCACGTAACTGATCGAGCAATTAATCAGAACTTCTAATGGCGATCGCAGCCGATTGATGTGAGGTGCGAGTTTTGGTTGATTTAGAAAAGAATTTGCGCGGTGTTCAAATATCCGCTCATGGTTTTTGCCACTTTCCATGACATCAAAAATTGCTAATTTTCACGTGTCAACAGTCCGAATGCATTAATCATTGAAGAAAACGTTTGTAAAACGATATAAATTATATGACAAGTTTAAAGCTCCCTCTAAAATAATTCTCGTTCTCGTAATGTTTAACGGACAAACCTGCACTACAGTTCCATAATAGTTTGTGTGAATCTTAATAAATTGTATGCCTAGTAGTAAGTACCAAGAGATAATTACCAGCATCTAATAAACATTAATTAGCAGCACTTCGTTATTAATCTAAGTTTTCATCCGGTTTGTCCGACGCACAATGATTTATTAACGCGTCATGTCTATTAATAAGCCCTCTGACATCGTATGCGCGCATATGTACAATAGACTTCTTGTTAATTATTAATTGGATAGTGTTCATGTAAGAGGAATTAGATGTCTTTACGACAAACCGGACTTTTGCAATTTCTTTTCAAACAAAGGAATTTAAAGGTGTTTTGTATTATAAGAATAATTTACGATGTAGTAAACATTAAACGACTCAACAAATCAATCATTAAGCATATTTAATTAGCAATATTTATATTACCACGTCACTCTAAATAATCCTCATTCAAATAGTTTGATGATTTTTTAATTTTATCGCGCGTACTCGTGCAAAGTGGCTTAGAAATACTTGTGAAAAACTGATAGCGTCAAGTAACCTCGCCATATTTCGCGTGAAAATTTCCGTACTATCACCATCCACGAGAGAGACGCAACGTTCGCTGTCAACGGGTTAAAGGTTGCTCCGCTATGAAGTAGTGGAAGTATGTCGTGTGTTCCGGAGCCCCAGATCGTTCGTCCCGCGCGCCTCCGTTCAATGAATAATGCTCGCCGATGCTCGGTGCTAGCATCCGTATGTGTGAGGTACACTAGATATCATAAATGCCTTAACATTTATTTTATTTAAAATTATTTTTTAAAAACGCATGATAATCACGCATTAATTATAGCAGACGCGGAGCAATAATTAATAGCTAAATTAATATCATATCTTAAACATTAAATTAAAAATAAATAGTCTAAATACGTTATTCTTTGTGCCAAATAAATTTACAAAGAGAAATAATTTTTTATCTTTAGCTGGAATAATTTGTATTAAAAGCAGTAAGCGTAACGGAAACAAAAAGGCCTATATGATGATGTTACTCATTTTCCTTCATGCTACAGAAATCGCAGTGATATGTATCTAGACACGATGCGCTGGTTCAAAAAGCGACCATCTAGTAAATGTTGAGGCATATATGATGCCTAGTGTACGAACGCGACAGCTACGTGGGCGTGTACGTGTGCCGGTATGATCTACGGGGGTTATTACAACGGCAACGAGGCACGACGCGAGTGCTCACCGAGAATACCATCGAGCCTCCTCTACTCTTTGGCCCCTGCCACGATATAACATCCCAGCCCCACCGCCGTCGTGCCGGAGTCCTTACCGAGTAAATACAAGTCGCGGCCGACTGCTGCATTCCGGCCGTAACGGGGCGTCGCGAGATCGCAGATCTTTTTGCCTTTCTTCTGGGCGAACGGCCGATATATATCGCCGAGATATCGAAGCGCGAAACGCTGATAAGCGAGGGATTGGGAATAAATGTTTAAACAATAAACGCGTGAATGGCGGTAAACACGCGACACTAAAATTGACAGTTGCGAGGTTAATAGATAATTCACAAAAGATGTTAATTATTAACCAGATATTCGGCGATAGGATACAGAATTGCGACGCGGCGCGTCGTGAATCGCCGCTCATCACCGATAATTGAAGTTGCGCAAACCCGCTGAGAATACTTTTCGTTATCCGTGAGCGTGAAGTATTATCGCGAAGGAGGATAAATGGCGAGAGCGCGCGAGTGGAAGAGGCGCGAAAGAGGAGGGCCAAGCGAGCGTTTACCCGTCCGCTCCGATCCGGTGAATGAGAGACGGCGGGGCGGAGACGAAGGGGGTGAGGAAAGAAAGAGAGCGAGAGAGAGAGAGAGAGAGAGAGAGAGAGAGAGAGAGAGAGAGAGAGAGAGAGAGAGAGAGAGAGAGAGAGAGAGAGAGAGAGAGAGAGAGAGAGAGA